ATTTCTCTTCTCAACAAAGTTTCCAAAGAGCAGTTTTACATTATCACTTTTCATATCCAAGTATTAGATTTTCTATTTATTTATTTTGGGGGCGTATTCATTAGATAGGCATAAATGACTACATACTGCAGCTAGCTCTCATTTGCAAATGGGAGGACTGCACTCTGCAAATCTCTTGTGAAAATGGAGGTTGACAGGAGGGACCGGTTCCCGTTCCCTACCACCTATGTGCTTCATGAGATCCCACAACATTACATTCATTAGCACCTTGCCTTTTCTCTTTATTTGAATACTTGTTTGCATTTAAGCTTCTTATGTGAAACAAGCACAAGGAAGGAAATAATATAATTAATGGCAAAGCAATCTAACTTAAACACAGGTTTGCCACAATCTATACAACTATTTAGGACTACTGTGATTGGGAATGAAAGGTGTATGAGAATGGCTCACTGGGAACAACTTAAAGATTAAAACACGTGGTTGCAAAAGGAAGTGGCTGGCTGCAAATCCTCAGTATGAATTAAATTCTGCTATTCAGGTTATTTCAAATTTGTGGAGGCTGTCTTTTTTCATTAGCTAGTAAGGGGAACTTATTCCTGCTTTCCGGACTCAGCTTTAGTAAGCTACAGAAGGAATTTTTCATTAAAATCATATGCAATAAAGTCATTGCGCAATCAGTAAAAAACCCAGATAGGTAAGGTGTAGGGGATGAGAGTACTTCTACTGTGAATGGAAACTATACTGTTTTGTGAGATTCTTTGTCCCGCTGGACTGTACCATCCCAGCCAGGAACTTCCACTACCCTAGAGGTTGAAGCTGTCAGAAACAAATCTGCAATAATGTGGCGCTGGACACAACATTAATGAGCTACATTAGCACACTACTAGCAAGGGGAAGAATGGTGAAAAAAACAATGCTTCAGTAGCCAGAGCTGTGCTCTGCTCCTCTTTGCACCAGGAGCTCTGAAGTGATCCGGCATTTTGCATTTCTGCAGCCATCTGCCATCCTTCAGGAACAGGTGAAAAGCGCAGAACAGAATACAAGAAGGCCAAACAGCAGAGCTGAACGGTAGTTTTCACTAGCATAAGCAAAAGTACTCCGGTATTCAGGAAACGCAACAGGGAACTTGGAACACGGGTGTCAGAAAGAGGCGATTCGCCTTTTGAAATGCGTCGACTGGAAACTTGCTGCCACCCCGTGGCAGCAGGTATCTGTTCCCATGAACTGGCATTTCGGGCCATGTCTGTGAAGAGAAGCCGGGTTCGGACCCTGCCCCTAGACAGACACGGCCTGGGACCCCCGGTTTCCACCGTGTGAGGATCTCGGGGAGCACGGCTGCCAGCTAAGGCAGGCACAGGCTGGGAAACGGCCCGCTGAAAGGGGCTCTAAAAGATGAGGGTGAAGACCTTGCTTCAATTCAGCGGTCAATCTTCCTTTGCTGTATCTTTTTTTAAGAAAAACACCAGATATTGCATACAAACGTTGCTATTCAAATGCTGCTCCAACCCAAATGCATGTGGAATTGTGCTAAGTACTTGCATTTTTGCTCACCCTGTTGAAGCAGCATATCTCATATATGTTAAAAGTGGCAGTAAAGAACAAAGCAGGCCAAACTGCTCACTGTCTGGCAGGTTACTTTATAGACAACAAGCTGTACTGGTCATGACAAGAAGTAATTTTTCAAGTACTCTTTTAAGACGAATATAGAGGGGCACACTCTGCCACATTAGACAACTATGGAATTCTTCTGTCAGAAGAGACTGCAAAATTTTAGCATCATAAAAAATTTATCTAATAAATGGCCAGACAGCCAGTGTAAGCACAACAGCATTATAGTTGGAGAATTTTTCCACTAGTGAGGACGCTGATTTAAACAAATGGGGAGAACAATAATTACAATAAAAACCCAAACAATAGAACTGACCCATGACAGATAGGATTTAGCTCAAAAAAAAAAAACCAAACCAACCCAAAAAATATGTTTGCTCAACATTAAAGTTCACAGTCCCATTACCTGCACCTTATTTTTTATTTTGGAGTTCAAATTCATTTTGTCCCATCCTCTATTGTCAGGATGACTTGCATATTGAACTGTTCAATGTTTTCCTAAACAAGTTGTTCTTCTTGAGCCATTCAAAGCGAACTATAAAAAGGGGTGCTGGTGCCAAGCGTTTTTTAACTGTAAGAACTCCGACAGAAAGGTAACTGTTGGGCTTCCAGGCTCCTGACTATATGAAGGATTTAGTTCTCTCTCTCCAGCATCGTGAATATGCAACTGTATCAACAATCTCTAACATTTTTCCAAAATATATTACTTCACCCCCTACCGTTCAGAATCTTCACATAACAGGAAAAGGAAACTTAGCTTTAGAGGTGGAAAGACTGTATCTAATAGAAAACCCCAAATGTGTCATAAATGTAGACCATGGCATTATCAGTGCCATTACACAGCACTGAACTGGAATGGCCAGGAATGCCCATTGACTCTCACCCTCAAATTGCCTAGCCAGTTGAAAAGCTTTTATGTCAAAAGTTCCTTTGATCAAAATTATTATCCTGCATTAAAGCATACCACAATGACTTCTTGGCACGTAGAACCCTTCAAAATAACCATCTTGCCTGTTAGAATTTTTACCCTGAGAACAGTGTGTCACGAAGTTTAATAGAAGTCTATGTATTAACAGCCCACTCTTCCGGTATGTGTAAATACCTTTCTGTACAGAGTTAATTAATTTTTTTGCCATATGTTTCTATGCTATTTCAATGCTGTTAATACTTGGAAATGTTTAATGTTTCTGAGCAACATTAACTCAGGTAACATAATATTTTATCTACGTTGTAATCCCAGCATACCAACTTACTCTCCTCCCCTGCACCCATGCTTGTTTATTATTGTAAACTGTATCATTCAAGATAGGAATATTTCATGCTTACCAACAGGCAATATTTATTATTATGACTGAGAACTCTACATACAGTATTGCACAAAATTATTATGGACCAATCAACAAAACCATGTTCCTATGTAACTGTAAATAGCACTTTAACAGAAGTTTAACACGTTGTGCGTTAGGTGTCTTAGTAAAGTGACAGTTTAGAGGATTATTTCACAGAAGTACCAAAGTGCAAACTTTCATTCAAGGCATATACACAAAACATAAACAGGATCGCTATACATGCCACAGGTCTAAAAAAAACCTCAAGCCACTCTTCCGCCCCCGCCCCCAAAACACACCAAAACAAGTTAAATGAGTAAGTACTAGCACTCTTAGCAACTACCAGTCCGACCACAATTCAAAGTCTTACCCTCTAGCAAGATGCAGAGAAACGCAATCTGAAGAAATGCCCTTAGCTTGGAGTTTTAGACATATTAATGCAGCTATATCACATTGACTGCATTTTTTTGTTTGGCAAGACTGAAAGACTTACGGCACTATAAATGCACCTAGCCAGTGTATTACCAGTAATTCCTGAATTACTATATAAAGTAAAGTAACTGTGTACAGCAGTTGACTGTTGAAAGAAATAGTGTTTTTACATCAAAAGGTGATACAGTATACAACCAAAATTCAAGCATTTAATATTAAACAATAGGTGTGGAAATCCTGATCTTCTGTTCCGAAGCACTACATAAAACAGATCAAGAATTATTTTTTTCATTTTTATTCTTCCCTCTACACCTTTTCCCAATGGCTTGGGAAAAGGTGTAGAGGGAAGAATAAAAGTGTAGGAGGGAAGAATAAAAGTGTAGCTGCAATCCTATGTCTTCAGCATATTACTATTCCAAAGTTGTTGACTAGCACGTGGGTTCAACTGTCCAGATCAATGTGACCTCTGGATTTTCAACATACAGTCTTAATGCTCTCAGTTCACTCCCATCTCAACACCTTCTTGCCCTTGACTGCAAGATCCCAGTCCCTGTTGTCCCCTACTTTTTATTTCCACCCTTTTCACCAGCTGTTCCGATCAGTTGGCCAGGCAGACTCATTACCTTCTCTTCTGCACAAGTGAGCAGCTTAGCTGCACAACATCATCTTCGGACAATCAGAGAAACAGAGAGAAAAGGACGGAACAGTACTTCTCTCATACCAGCTTTTGCGAAGGCCTGGAGAGATATTTACACTTCTGCCTGAGCACCAGTGAAGAAGTGCTGAAGACTTTGTAAGCTTGAAAAACACTGGTTTACAAAAAGAAAATTCTGATTAGGAGAAAGTAAGTTTAAATTCCAAAGAAAAAAGGGCCTCCTATAAACGTAATATTTTAATTTGTTAAAACAACTATGAAATACTGTTTTTTTTAAATTATAAATGCTTTTTTCCCTGTTACCAAGTTAACCTCAAGACAGGAGTTAAATAGAAGTTACCATAAGCTTTGGTGAAAAACCCTAGTGCCTACACAGTTACAAAAGAGTTCAAGCTGTAGAAAATTAGTAGCAGACATGACTACAAAAAAAAGTAACAAAAAGCGTAAGATTTTTCTCAAAAAAAAAACATTCATAGCTTTTAGTACAGAGAGCACATTCTGTGAACATGGGGAATCAGAATCTAGAAGCAATTTTACCAACTTTGCAATTTAAGTCAAGAAAGATAAATGACAGCAATGTGAGAAACAAGGCCTGTGTGTATCCTGCTTCAGTACTCCAGTGCCTGAATATATTTCATGTTCTTGAGGATGACTTTCTAAGTACAGCAGAGGCTGTGCTTTCAACAAGGAAAGGAACAGAATTAAAATTGGGTTAGCCCATTTTAAAGTATTTCTACAAGCAGTGCTATGGTAGCCTATCACTATACTAAATAAATGAACTTCTTTTTGGACTTCCTTGGATTTATGGGAAAATACACCACCAGAAAACCCACACATAAGATGAAAGCACCAGAAAACTACAAAAACAAAGCAAGCATCTACATAATCATAGTGAACTCTGAAGCTGAGGACCGTGTGCCTGTGTATATAAATCTTTATAAACAAAACCATATACATGGTTGGGGGTTTTTGGGTTGTGTTTTTTTTTTTTTAATTTTTTCCCCCCAAATCAAAGCAGAACACATAAGCAATATATTCTTTCAAATGGGTTTTGGATGGGGAAGTGTGTATAGAGTGGACAAAGAAAATGACAAAGGAAAGGAACAGTGACATTTTATTTGCTTGGCATGTGAAAGTACAGAGACATTACTACAGCTCTTACTGTTCTTACCTTTTGGATCCCAACTCATCATAAATTACAGCATAACCACATCAGTGGTGGCATTTAACACACAATTTACATTTTCAAAATGATTCAACTTTATTTTTCTTAATGGTATCCACACTTTACGCAGCCTACAAACCTGAAGAAAATGCATTTGCTTCCAAAAGCCATAATATTAAGTGTTTTGGGGTGCTCAAAGTCAAAGAAGTAGTCCTGAGATTTCAGATGTTAAAGCTTTCTCCACAGCCACACGTTCCTTTGATGTTTGGATTATTGAAGACAAATTCACTGGACAGTTTGTCTTCTACATAGTCCATTTCAGTTCCTAGAAGCGTCAGTTGTGCCTTCTTCTCAATAAACACTCTAACCCCTTGAAGACAACAAAGGAAAAAAGTTACATACAGTAAAATCATCATTCACTTTAAAATTTTCTTTCAACCGGTGATAAAAAATGGAAGCTAAATATGAAGACTACCAGTATAATTTGGTTTCCCTGGCCTAACATGGGGCACTTTCATTGCTGTTTTCACTCTACTTATAAAACTCTAGCAACAGTCTAGCACTGTTATTTGTGCGTGCACATGAATGTATGTATTTTTTTTTTATTTTGGGGGGGAGCAGATTTAAAAACCAGGGAAATAAGCTGTAGAACTTGGGAACGAATCTCAGCTTCAATACTTAATTCCCATGCATTACAGTCAGTAACCCATTTCCTACCATTCTTAAAGTCTGTGCATCCAACAAGAAGCCCAAAAACCTTGAAAAACCAAATGTTCCTCTCAAAATGATTTTTTGCTCTGCCAAAACTATTAGGTCTATATTAACTATTAGCAATACTCAATCCTATAGTAAGGCAAATGTGTTAACCTTCAAAGGTATCACAACCTTTAAGGATTAAGAATTAGTAGTTCACCTTAGGAACTAGAAAGAGCTCCCTTTTCTAAAGTATAAAAAGTATCTACCTCTCTGCAAAGTTACTGAACTTTAAAACTGCCAATCTGACATAAAGATGCAAGTGGACTGCTTTAGCGGTCCACAGACTAGGAAATAATAAAAATAAAAATGTAAAATCATATCAGTAAACAGCAATAAGAACTTATTAAGTTATATGAGAAATTGCTGGAAAGCTGGTTCATCCCAGTAGACATTGAGACAAAACGTATTACCAACACAACTCAAGTCTGTGGGCAACTGAGCTGAATCTACACATTTTTGGGGTCAATTTGGACAGTAACTGACAGTGAAGGCTAAACCTAACGAAGGAGTTTATGGACCTGATCCCTGAAACAGTCACTTACTACCTAAAAGCCAAAAAATTTGTGCTGGGATCTAAAGCCACTGGCTCACTGAGCACAGTCCTATGTAAAAGTCAGAGCCTTCACTGGAAATCTGTCTAGAAGCAACCAAAACAAAACAGAAAGCACACAGGCACACCTGAAACGGTGTCTGGCTTCAGAATCTAAGGTCTCTGACCCAACTGAGGGACACTGGTTTTATCTTCCTTAAGATCCAAACCAGGAAATGCCTTTAGAAAAATGTGTTTTCAGCCCTGTAAAGCTAGAGCACCTCTGAGTCAAGCAGAAGAGTAACTCCAGAAGCCAGCTGAATTTGAAATCAAGAGGCACCTGAAGAATTAGGTGGCAGTCCCCATCTCACATACTCTGGTTCAGTTTAATAATTTGCTGAAGTTCCAACTAATTCTCTGTTCAAGAGAATAATACTTATTAGTTTGCCACAGGTATTCTGAAGACAGCTGGAAGATCGGCTCTGCCTAGCAGCATAGCTTCTGTAAGAAAATAATTGTGATATCCCACTTATAATCAAATCTCTTACTTTGCCACCAAATTAAAAGTAGTATTCCTGAACATAATATAACTGAGTTCAGTAATGCCTCAAAAAAACCCAAAACCACCCCCACAAAAGGAATTTTAGGAACTTTTACAAAAGAACAGAAACCAAAATGAACACTATCATGCTTCTGTAAAAACCCATATTTGACAAAAAGACCACTGACAGAAATTTTTATAAAAATTGGAAAAATGTATAGAACTGTGCTGGTTTTGGCTGGGATAGAGTTAATTTTCTTCACAGTAGCCCGTATAGGGCTACGTTTTGGATTTGTGCTGAAAACAGTGTTGATAACACAGGGATGTTTCCGTTACTGCTGAGCAGTGCTTACACAGAGTCAAGGTCTTTGCTGCTTCTCACCCCACCCCACCAGCGAGCAGGCTGGGGGTGCACAAGAAGTTGGGAGTGGACACAGCTGGGACAGCTGACCCCAACTGGCCAAAGGGGTATTCCTACCATATGATGTCATGCTCAGCATATACAGCTGGAGGAAGAAAAAGGAAGGAGGGGCGTTTGGAATGATGGCATTTGTCTTCCCAAGTAACCGTTAGGCGTGATGGAGCCCTGCTTTCCTGGAGATGGCTGAACACCCGCCTGCCGATGGGAAGTAGTGAATGAATTCCTTGTTTTGCTCCGCTTGTGTGCGCGGCTTTTGCTTTACCTATTAAACTGTCTTTATCTCAACTCACAAATTTTCTCACTTTTACCCTTCCAATTCTCTCCCCATCCCACTGTGAGGGGAGAGAGTGAGTGGCTGTGTGGGGCTTAGTTGCCGGCTGGGGTTAAACCACAATAGGAACTTTAGTAACAGACCTATCATTGGGATGCTCAATGAAATTATCAAGCAGAAAGCTTAAATACCAGCACATGAAAAAATTTTTTAAAATACTCGTAAGTTAAAATCATAGAAACCATTGTTACAAAGCAATGTAAAGGTCAAAAGCATAAAGAGATTAAAAACAAATTACAAATCAATGAAGACTAGAGAAGATAATTGGGAAAATCCCTTGCAAATAAAATCTTTACTTTGCCAAGCCTTGGTTTAGGTATGTAGCTAAAGTGTTCCTTTATGCATTATTCTATATTTTTCTCTAAATATCTGCTATTAGCCACCTTTAAAGACATGAACAATGAACTAGACTATTCTGGTGGAGTAGTCTGTGATGCAGAGACTGCAAAGCTGCAGATTTTAACTAATCGGTTACTTCAAAACAGAAACTAAGGTGACAACAATTCCTGTAACAGAACAGTAGGACCTCTTGCTATAACTTGTTACTTCAGGTAAGTTGGCAAGCCTGTAATAAGTTATTCTTCCCTACCACCACAGAAGTTTCCTCTGCCACATCAGAAACTCACCATCTTGAACTACTTCTTCATCAGAGTCTCCTTTCGATTTTGTATATTCTAACGTGTACGAAAGTCCATTGCATCCTCTTGTACGAACACCTACTTTCACGCCTACCTAAAAAAAAAAAAACGAAACCAAAAAACAACCCCGCATTCAATGACTTTTTAAAAACCTGTTCTGGAACACCAAGATAAAAAGTATGCAGAACAACGAAATGCTGGCATGTATTATTCTCCACTGCCTCAAAGCAGAAGTGAATTAGCTTAATGCATTGAGAGGTTACATTTTTTTTTCCTTTTACAAAATTGACTGCCAATACTGTGGATCAAGCCCTAAAGTATGTTAAAGTTTTGAAGTAATAAACTGTTGGCACTCCTGTGTGTGCCTGGTCTCATAAACACAGTCAGATTTCAAAGACGGATATTTTTGTGACTTCAAATTAAAGTTTACTCAGATGCAAATTCGGGCACTACATTAAGATTATTGACAGTAGCGTAATTATGAAGCTGTGAGGCCAAGACAAGGGCAGTTACTAGATTTTCAAAGAACTCTTGTAATGACACCATCAGAAAACTTACTTCAAACCAAAGTTTTGAAAAACGTACTTTGGTTTCTTCATTACCTCTACTGCCAGTCTCACTTAAAAAGCAATCCCCTCCTTAAATCAAGTATGTTTATTTGCTTACTGTTTTAATCGACCTTAAAAGCCAACTAGTCAACATGTTTGTAACATTCATAGTATTCAATGAGTCTGGCAAAAAGAGCACCTGTGTAAATAAAGAACTGAGAAAAAGTTTAAAAGAAACAGAAAACTATTTGTGCACAACAATCTTTCAAAAGTATCTGTATGACTTTCCACACACCAATGCTTCATAATTGAAGAGGAAAATTACATTGTCTATCTTTGTAATCAATGTTACAATAAAAAAAAATCAAAACATATCACTTGTCATCAAGTGGGGTCTCAGACAAACAGTGTTTGAGTTTTTCAGATGAAATACCTTTCTCTACAGGAATTGCTACAAATAATGGGCTGGAAAGCGCAAACATCATTTATAGCAAGGGGATGACTGACCAGCTAAGCTGTAGGCTTAGGGCTTCCTTAGGATGGTTTAAAACATTAGAACAAAGAGTCTAGTTAGTTGCAGATGTGCGGGAAGCAAAACAAACAATGGGCCTTGTATGAAAGTTAAAAGAGAAATATTCTCCCTGAAAGAATACTTACTGTAAAGAAGAAAATCTAATGCTTGTTTTTATAATGGTTTGAAAGCATGACTCTGGGTGTTTTTACCCAAGAAGAAAAGATGACAAGCTCAATCAGTTATCTGGAGAAGTGCTGATTGCTTAAAAAAATACATTGCCTGGCAAGTTTCCTAAGAATTAGATGTTTTCCAATGGGTACGAATCTAACCTCATTATTATACACTTCACAATGAGAATTCCTACATGAACTTAATTAATAACGCCTTAGTATCAACAGTTGAAGATCTCTTTCCCACTATGCCATACTAAAAGACTTCATTAAAATATAGCTAAAAAATATTTTGAAGCTTAAATTTTTTTCAACTTTATCCATCTCAAAAGTAACTGTATGGTGAAATGCCATTACAGTCAGTTATTTCCTGCATCTCATTTTATAAAGAAACGACGCTTGATACAAGCTTACGCATTCCCCTCCAAAAAAAGATGCCAACATCTCTAACAAACACCTCAGTGTTTATTTCAAGCTTCTAAGTTAGCCAGAAATGCTTTGCGATCATGAGCTGTGCTAATACCTTAGTGCAATCTACAGGCTGGCCCTGTTTATACTTACATGCTCAGGTTTATCTTTAAGAAGCTGTTTTATCTTCTGAACAGCTGATGGGGTCTGAAAAACAAAAACTTATACATAAATTTGAATTTTTTTTTTGTTTATTTGCAGTGAGTGCTTGCACATATTAAAGTGTGCAATGTACTTAGTTGTACTATAAAAAATTTCTATTCCAATTCTGTGCACTTAAATTTTCTTAGTTTACATTTGTCTCCTATCTGCGAAGTCCACCTTCAGCCACCTGTCAGTATTGACCAGCCTGTGTTCTACTTGAAACTGATGCCTGACCTGAAGATACGCACTCTGCTGTAAAATAGATGACTGCTCTATCTAATCCATGCAGAACACAATACCTCTTCACTCCTCTCCTCACCCACACTGCCAGCAAACAGATAGTTTAAGAACTTCAGTCCTTGATATTAGGGTGTCCTGATATTAGGGTGTCCCCCCCCACCCCCGCCAAATCACTACCACGATTCAATTAAGTAATTGTGCTCTTGTGAAACTTTTGTCACATACACATTACAAACAAAAATCAATTAGGCACAGAAGTGTTTATGGCCTACTTCTCTCTTCCCGCTAACCCAGAGGGGACCTGTGACTTTACAGCAGATGAATTCGCTGTTCATGCAGATCTAGTTGCTGCAGAAATGCAAGAACATAACACAAACAAAAATTTCCATTACATGCTTACAAGTTTCCAAGACACTGAGAAAAGGAAAAGCATTAGTAACGTGAAGTTCTTACCATAAGCAGACTTAAACACACAAAGCAAACTACAAGTTAGACTTACTTCTAATTACCGCTATTAATCTTCATTTGTTACAGAATCACTACTGAAGAGGAATTACCCGCTCTGACAAATGACTGAACTATACGCACTTGATCTGCCCCTGCTCCTGCAGGGAGCTGACTCTACTTTCCTCTGCAGTAATCCCTGTCAACAGTACA